ATCGTCTCTCACTTGAGCTGCTGTAACAGCTGGCCGCCTGCTCTGCCTGCTTCTGCCCTCGTGTCCTTCAGTCCATTTCCAGCACAGCAGCCAGAGCCGTCCTTCCGCTAAGTTGGGTCATGTCACTTTTCTGCTCAAGATCATGCAATGACTCCCATCTCACTCAGATTAAAATCTGGAGTCCTTACCAATGTCAAGTCTTGTTACCTCTCTGATGACCTCTCATACTATCCTTCCCTTTGTTTGTTCTACTCCATCTATATTGGCCTTGTTGGCAATACTTGCAAGTCAAGCATTTTTGTGCCTCAGGGCCTTTGCACGTGATCTCCCTAAGTTCCTTTGTCTTTGCTTAATGTCACCATCCAGAGAGGTCCCACCCAAGATTTTAGCCCACCAGCTCTTTCTTGATTCCTTTCTCTGCTTGTATTTTTTTCCCCTCTTAGCAATTAACACGATTTTTATACTATTTGTGTTTGTTTGTTTGATGTTGTTTCTTGTCCATCATCTTGGCTAGAATATGATTTTCATGAGGGCAGGGATTGCTATATACAAATATTCCCAGAGCAAACCTTGGAATATAGGATGTGGTCAATAAACTTTTGTTGACTATAACACTACAGTAATTTTTTTCTATATGCATTCAGATATGGAAGCAAAATTTAGAGAGAGGGATGAAAGAGAACAGCAGTTGATAAAGGCGAAGGAAAAGTTGGAGAACGACATTGCAGAAATAATGAAGATGTCCGGAGATAATTCTTCTCAGCTGACAAAAATGAATGACGAGTTACGTCTGAAAGAAAGGTATGTATGAATGGTTGTAAGGGCGCCTGATTTAGGTTCGCCTCTGAAGCGCGGTCTAGGAGGGAGGGGAGCCAAAATTCAGGATTGTTCTGTTTTGTCTTTGTTTTTGTTTTTGTTTTTTTAAGATTTCATTTATTTGACAGGCAGAGATCACAAGTAGGCAGAGAGGCAGGCAGGGAGAGAGAGGAGGAAGCAGGCTCTTTGTGGAACAGAGAGCCGGACGTGGGGCTCAATCCCAGGACCCTGGGATCATGACCCGAGCCTAAGGCAGAGTCTTTAACCCACTGAGCCACCCAGGCACCCCAGGATTATTCTGTTTTAAGGTTTCCTGCCGCTCTTCCTTTTTTCTTACTACGGGAGTGTCTGCTTAAATCAACTATGGAACCTTCTAAGCAATACAGTATTAGAGGCTTTTAGATGGCTTGTAAAGAAAAGACAGGAGTTTACCAAGGGTGGGAACATCTTTCACAGGCAGCTAACGATATTTTTAGGCTGTTTCAGTGTATGGAAGGGTCACCCATATCACAGGCGAACTGGGTATGTGCCCTGCGCCCTGTGGACAGCTTTAGTGGAGTGGGTTTTCCGATTCTCCTAGTAATCCTGTGAGGTGAGTGTGTTCTTGTTCCCATCTTGAGGAGAAAGGAATTGAGGCTTCATGAGGTGATGTGACTTGCCCAGGATTTCAGGCCTGTTTGGCTGGCCCCGGCTGGTCATCAGCAGTTCCTGCTACGGCCACGAGCTACAGCTCTGTAGTCTCCACCCCTCCTGTCTTTATTCTGAGGCCATTGTTGCTTCAAGCTTTCTTTTCTTTTCATAGCTGCCGGGTAAAAATCAAATGTTTTATTTTGTAAGGCAAAAACTTTGTGCTCGCTTCGGCAGCACATATACTAAAAAAAAAGGCAAAAACTTTGAGAGGACATTTTAGGGCCATGAGACCCATGATTCTGAAAGTATGACTGGTTGGCAGTTAAGTTTATCTCTGGCCATGCACCCCTACAGTTCAGCATGATGGTGATGGGGTGTGGGCGGAGGTTGACACCTGGGCTTTGATTGGCCATCTGTGGTCAGACTTGCTTGGGGGGGGGCAGGGGGAGTGAGCCACACAGGTGGTGGTGGCCTGGTGCCCCAGGGAGCTCCACCACTGCAGGTGTCAGACGACCCAGAGGGACCATCCAAGTTTCCCTCCTCTGTTCTCGGAGTCTTCTGATAGCCCATTCTCTAGGTTTGTGTCACACATTTTCTGTATGTCTTATTGACCCACATTGGTATCTGGAGGCTAGATCTTTAAGTTACCACTTGTCATTTTGTATCTTGTGTTTTCAAGGGACGCTGGAATGAGTTTTTGATAACCTTGTCTGCTAAGATTTTTGAAACTTACTAAATAATTTCCTCATTTATGTTTACTTTTCATTCCTTTTTCCTTACAGATCTATTGACATAAAATACGAAACCTTCATAATTACAATAATTGTCACTCTAAGTAGTGTATCTGTAACTGTCTCAATTGTTAAAATTAGTCTTCAGGGCAAGTCAGGCCATTTTTTTGGTTTATTTCAGATGTTGTTAATTACTTACAAACTATAATCATTAGTACAATTATGAATAGTATCTTTCTAAGTATGACTGGAATTTAAAGCATTCTTTTGAAAACTCTGACACCTTGTGTTGAACCTTGTTCTAGAAATGTAGAAGAATTACAGCTCAAACTTACCAAGGCTACTGAAAACGCAAGCTTTCTGCAGAAGAGTATTGGGGAGGTAACTCTCCAAGCGGAAGAGAGCCAACAGGAAGCAGCCAAAAAGCACGAGGAGGAAAAGAAAGAGCTACTGAGGAAGCTGGTGGATCTGGTAAGGAGAGAGTATATGAGACTAAGTGCTGGTGAGGGAGGCGAGGGCGGTACAGATACAGCTGGGTGACTTACTGCTTCCCTCGGGGTTTCTGCAGGAAAAGAAGATGGAAATGAGCCACAACCAGTGCCAGGATCTGCAGGCCAGGTTTGAGGAGGCCAGTTGTGAGACAAAGGCGAGGCATGAAGCCGTCGTGCAGAGCCTGCAGAAGACGCTGTCGGACATGGAGGAGAGGCTGAGGGCCGCGCAGAAGGAGAACAGCGACTTGATGCAGGAGATGGCAGAACTGAAAAAGCAAGCCGACAAAGCCAAAGTATGTTCTGGGAGAGGAGCACGTTGCTGCGTGGCATCACGGCTGCAGCGGGGCGTACAAAGCAGCAGCAGATGGGGTGGGTCGCACCGACCTTTACAGATGCTAACCTCCGAGCGCATGGCAGGATGGCAAATTACATTTTCCTGGCTTCCAGTGCTTTCTGCCAGCTGCTGCTCCTTCTCAGGGGTGGCGGTGGCTACCGTCCAGGTCTTTCCCCTGAGTGTCCTGTGTAACCATCGCCCCCCACCCCTGCGCTGTGGGCTTCCCAGCTGTCCCAGAGAATCTTGTGTTGTCTGAGCTCTCTTTGCCTGCTTGCAGGAGACCCTGTTGTGGCCTCTGATCTTGGCCATCTTACTGCCACCTTGCACTGGGGTTAGGAGAGACATCTTGCAGCAAAGCAACAGGCCAAACGAAGCAAGTGAGCCCTGGGGAAGCGGGGTTCCTATAGAGAACATTAGAGTGAGGGCTCTAGAGAGGACTTATATGTCCCCGGAAGGCACACTCCTGTTATTAAATAGAGTAGAATTTAATACATTGTGTTTCATTTTACGGTGTCAGGATCATCTCTGCAACCCAGTATGTTTTTTGACTCTGGTCACTTAATGAAGTTCAACCGTCCTGTGTTTAACTTTTTCCTGCCACCATTGAACTTGCTCAAAGAAAAGTAAATACTTGTCTTTAATTATTTTTAATGTTTGTCTAGGAGTTTAGTGAAAAGGAAATGTAAAATAGCATACATGAGACTTGAAACAAACCCCACCTAAAACTCGTTAATTAAACTGGACCATGATATGTATACATGCACTTTCTCTCCTCTCCGTGCCACCGTCAAGGCTTCGTCCTCTCCCTGTAGAACATCTCTAGTTTTATGAGCCATTTAACACTGGATATAATTTCCAGATCTTTTGTCTTTGTGCTTCCCTTTATCTGGACAGACTCCTCTTTTTTAGTGTTTCCGTTAAAATGTGCGGTCTGACCAAACCACAGCATTCCAGTAGTTTGTATGAAGACTCAGTTCTGCTTCCTGTTGTTGTAATTTTTTTTTTAATTTTTAATTTTTTACAAGGGTCATTTGGTTAGGATTGTTTCCCTTCCAAAGTTGTCTCGATATCCGATTCCTGCGGATGTCAGTGTTTGTCAACAATAGCGGCTCACAAACTATTTTAAGGATCTGATGATACCTTAAGATGTACTCTCCCCCTCCCCCGGGGATAATTTATATGCTCAACAGGTTTTTATATAAGATGTCAGGAGGTTCAGGGAGCCCACAGAGTTGCTGTGTTTCCTAGTTAAAGAGCCAGTGATCTGTAGCTGTGCTGTCCAAGGCACTAGCCGCTGGACACATTAATTTGAGTTTGAATTTGTTAAATCTCAATAAATTACAGATTGAGCCCTTGAGTCACACTGGCTGCACTTGACGTGCTCACTAGCAGCTACCGTATTCGTGCAAAGAACATACACATCACTGCAGAAGCGCTGGGACAGATAATGTGGTCAAGTTATTATACAAATCAGTATTTTTTTTTTTAAAACTATTTTATTCACCAAAGCCTAGCAAATTGGTTTGTACTTTTAATAAGTTAGACTTAATATTGGGATTAAATTGGTCAGGCCAGTGACTGTCCTTTAGAAGGTCAAGGTCTTGTGGTTAGTTTGAAAAGCAACAGTTTATTTTCCCTCACCCTTCCCCCCCCCCACACTTTTTTGGTTAAAATACACTCACTTTTTGTAGTTCTCTGGTTTGGATTTTTAAAAAATTCTTCCCTGAGTTCTTCCTACAGTAGAAATAACTGGGAAGTTGGGAGGGCAGGAAAGACTCTCACGCCCCAATGTCGAAGTCAAACTACACTTTTTGCCTTGTTAGGTACCACTCAGGGATGATTTCATAAGTGTTGCAAAGAAAAAATAAACCAGTAGGTAGACCAGCACTTTGCAAAGCTAAACCTGCTTTGTATTAATTATACTTTTATGGGCTCTTTTCATCTAGTTTTTTTCCCCCCTTGTTATCTAGGTAGTTTCTATGACATTTATTGTAAAAAAAATTTTTTTTTCAAACTTTTACAATTTAGGTTACATTAAGTTATTTGGGCTCGCATTTGTCTGCTTGATTTCATTTTGTTTCCATTCTTTCCACCCTTTGTCTCTGTAGTCGCTAACTTATTTGTTAACATCAGCCAAAAAAGAAATTGAACTAATGTCAGAAGAGCTGAGGGGTCTGAAATCAGAGAAGCAGCTTCTTGCACAGGAGGGAAATGCTTTAAAGTTAGAAAAAGGTTCACTTTTATCAAAGCTGGTAGAGGTGGAGGCCAAAATAACTTTGCTTCAGGAAGATCAACAGAAACTGTGGTCGGTCAATGAAACGCTTCATTTAGAAAAAGAGAAAGTCTTAGAAGAAAAGCAAGATGCCGAAAAGCTTTATCGTCAGGAGCAGGTCCATAAGGAATCCTTAGCCGTTGAGAGAGAGCAGTTACTGGGAGAAATTAACACAGCACAGGAAGAACTCTTGAAGATCAGTATGGAAAACGACTCTTTGCGGGCTTCCAGAGCAAGAGTGCAGGAGCTCATGGAACAGCTCCAGCTCAGCAAAGATACTTTGATAGCGGAATCTAAGAAGGATCAGGAGGAAAAAAATCACCTGGAGGATCACATCAAGAAGCTCGTTACTGAAAACCTTGCCTTGGCCAAAGATAAAGATGAAATTATTCAGAAGCTCCAGAGCTCTTACGAGGAGCTGGTCAAAGATCAGAAAACCTTGGTGCAGGAGATCGAAGATCTCACCACTGAGAAAAAGTCAGCTTTGGAGAAGCAGTCAGGTCTTGATAACATGTGCCTCGCCTTAAAAGTGGAAAGAGAAAATCTTCTCCAAAGCAGCAAAGATCTGCGGTTTGAGAAGGAAGTGCTCCTTCAGGACCAGGAAAAGCTGAGTGCCAGCCTGGAGGCCGCCCTCCAGATCAAGCAGCTGCTCAGCACGGAGGCCAGCGGGCTCCGCACGCAGCTGGACGGGGCCCAGCGGGCTCTGAGGAATGCAGAGCTGGAGATGCGGCAACTCCAGGCCACGAACAGCAGCCTCACCAAGCTCCTGGAAGAAATCAAGACCAGTCGGGAGATCACAGACTCCGAGTGCATCCAGCTTTTGCATGAGAAAGAAACCTTGGCTTCCTCTGAGAGAAAACTCTCTGCTGAAAAAGAAGAACTCCTAAGTGAAAACAGGCTCCTTGCTGAAAAACTGAAGAAGTGCTCAGAGGAGGCCGCCCGGGTTGAGATGAGCCTGAACGAGAAGATCGCGTTCCTCACTTCTGAGAAGGAGGTGGTCTGTCAGAAGATTACCAAGCTCAAAAAGCAGCATGACAGTCTCTTGAAGGAAAAGTCTGTCCTGGAAATGCAGAATGGAGATTTGCTTGCAGAAAGGGAGAATTCCGTGAAAACCATGGGAGATCTCCGAAGGAAGTACGATCAGGAGTCCGCCAGCAGAAGAATCATGGTGCACGAGAAGACGAAACTCCTTGGGAATCTCGACACTCTGGAGAAGGAGCTTCAGGAGAAGAAAAGGGAAAACCAAGAGCTGGCCGCCACCAAGCACGAGCTCTCTCTGATGCTGAAAGAGGCCCAGAATGCCAGGAAGAGTCTAGAAAAAGAGCACACGAGCACCCTGCAAGCCAAGGAGAGCCTGAATGCCGAGCTTCAGACGTGCTGTTCTGAAAAGAACATCCTGCTGAGGGACGGGCTGAGCCTACAAGAAGAGTGTCAGAGGCTGAACGAGGAGATCCGCGCCGTGCAGCAGTCCTTCGTCCGGGAGCAGGAAGCCAGAGCGCAGGAAAATGAGTCGTCCCTGTATGAAAACAATAAGCTTCACGGGCGGATGGCGCTCCTAGAGCAGGAGCTGGGAGAGTTAAGAGTGTGTACTAAACAGCTGCAGTCCGAAAAGTTCGTGCTCGTCCAAGAGAAGAGCAAGTCAGAGCAGAAAGTGGCAGAGATAATTAAGGAGAAGGAGCTCTTGAGTGCAGAAACCGCTCGGCTTGCTGCCAACATAGAGACTCTGAAGAGCGATTTCAGCACCTTGTCCAAGTCCAAGTTAGAGCTGCAGGAGCTGCACAGCTACCTCACCAAGATCCTGGACGACCTCCGGCTCAAGCACGAGATGACGCTGGCCGACCGCACCAAGGTGGTGCAGGACAACAAGAACCTGCTGGCTGAGAAGAGAGACATGACGCTGGCCAAGGAGGAGCTCCTGAAGGAGAAGGAGAAGCTGGCGGAAAGCTACTTCATCCTTCAGAAAGAGATTAGCCAGTTGGCCAAAACCAATAGCCACATCTCAGCCAACCTCCTGGAATCTCAAAATGAAAACCGTACTTTGAGGAAAGACAAGAGCAAGCTCACTCTTAAAATTAGAGAGCTCGAGACTCTTCAGTCATTTACGGTAAAATGGGAGGGTCAGGGACCAGGCCTGTACTACTAACCCCCGTGCACTAACTTCCTAGTGGCCCTGGGCGGCTTGTCATCGCGGCCAGCAGGGAAATGGATCCTACCCAAGTAGCTGCGCGTGTGTCTCAAGCTGTTTGTCTGACCACCCGAAGGGGCAGTTCTGTACTAAATCTCTAATTGCAGCTGTCTTTCTCCATTGGAAAGAATCATAAACTGTGAATAAAAAGGATACATTTTTTAATTTAAGGGGAAATTTTCTTGAAAAAGTCACCTGTGGTTCTTTTTTTTTTTTTTTTAAGATTTATTTATTTGACAGAGATCACAAGTAGGCAGAGGGAGAGAGAGAGGAGGAAGCACCCCCCTACCGAGCAGAGAGCCCAATGCGGGACTCGATCTCAGGACCCTGAGATCATGACTCCAGCCGCAGGCAGAAGCTTAACCCACTGAGCCACCCAGGTGCCCTCACCTGTGGTTCTTAAAGGATTAAGAACGGTATTAAAATGGGCACATAGCGAAACATAGTTATCTTCTGTTTGGCTTTTAACTGTTTTGCTTTTGTCTGTCCAAATGCAGTTGGAACACTCCAGTGAACTTTTCCGTGGCTGGTGGTAGGGAAGGCATAATGCAGAATTCCCATCAGCTTTATTAGACTGCATGAAGTTGTAAGCAAGTGCCTAAAAATATTTTCTTTCTCATAAGAAATAAACAAAAAATTTTAATTTTTATAATTATCAGCTAAGGATTTGTGTCCATATCCATGCGATCTTTTTTATTCACAGCCATGTTTATATTCATTACCCATAGCTTCTCTTTCAGGCTTTTCCATTTAATGCTTCTCATTAAACGCTTGAGCCTTGTGTTAATAATTGCCCAAATAATTTTTATCTTTACTTGAGAAATCCCCAACCTAAATTACAAGTTATTTCAAAAGCCCCACATCTGAAATAGCGAGAATAGTGTTGCCGACATACATCAGTAAACACGACAAAGGGAAAATTCAGCTACGTAAGGATGTTACTGTTTATTATCAGAGAAGTGAATGTTTCTCTCCAACACAGGTCAGAGTGATGAGCATGACTGTCAGTGTAACTTTGGAGCTTGGAAAGATGTAGGGTTGGAAGGGTCTGAAAATATGCAAATATCATATTGCAGTTGGCTTGTTTGAAGAATGGCACGGAAAGGGTCTGTAGCTTGGTTCCCCTTTCATGGCTCAGACTGTTTGCCTCAGCATTGGATTGGTGACTGGTCCTTAACCTTCACCACACAGACAGTGAGGGCTGCCTGAGCCCCACAGCCTGAGTGTCCCCGACGGGCTTGCCCAGGGCTGTCCTCTTTTCTCACGGTGCTTTCTTGTGTTCAGGCTGCTCAAACGGCAGAAGACGCCATGCAGATAATGGAACAGATGACCAAAGAGAAGAGCGAGACTCTGGCCTCCTTGGAGGATACCAAGCAAACAAATGAAAAACTACAGAATGAAGTAATCAGATTTAAATGGCTTTTTGTACAAAGGACAGCTTACCGACTTCATGGAATGTTTGATCACTAACTCAGGATTGTTTATTTTTTGAAGTGTGGCCTCATACAGGTTTGATCCATGTTAGTGGAGTTGCTTGTACATCAGAACCACGATAATATTAAATAAAGTGTATGACTTCATTACTCACTTAGTAGGGTCAACCTTTAAAAAAATAATGAGGGGAAAACCCCGATAGCGTGGCTTTCTATAGTAACTTCAGTGATGGGACTGTATCTTTGATCTGAAATCACACAATTTTTTTCCTCCGCGCGCTCCCAACTGGAGCCACTAAATTCCGCTTCTCAGCCCTGAGTTTGACATAAGCCTTTTCTTGCCATCACTCAGTCCTGGTTCCCTTTGTGTCCTCTCTAAACAGCCACTTCTGGGTCTCAGACAGATTGTGGCATGGAGATCACTTCAATTCTGTCCAAAGTAGCATATTTCTCATTCTTCCGGGACCCATTTTTGGTCCTCCTCCTCCCTATACCCAGCTCATACCAACCCTTCCTTTTCAGGAAGCAGTTACCTGTGAATCCTAAGTAGATGGATTTGCCCAAATCGTTATGCTTTTGAAAGGGATAGTCAGGTGAGACTATTAAAGCAAGGAAAGGGCTAGCCACATTGAGGAGCTGCCGTGTTGAGGCTAGGCCTTCTCATTGTGGAAGGTCAAAGATGGAAATCTGTAAAGACATGCACATTTTGAGATGATTATAGGGCGAATACAATTGGACGAAGAAGGGGGTACATTTTCAGAACTGATAGTCCTAAGACAAGAAGAGAAAGCATTAAAAAAATCAGATGATAGTCACAGAAGCTAAAATAAATGAGAAGATTTTAAGGAATGGATCTAATTTTTAAGGGTAGAATCGGGGAGAATTGTGTGCCTTCATGACATAGCCCTTGGCATCCTTGTTATATAGCCAGAATACAAGACCAGATGAATCATTTTTTTGGACCCATTGTGATACTTGGTTTTTCTTATTCTATGAATCTGGAATTCCAGATTCCTCTATTAATTGTAGAGGGCATTAAAAGTAATATTGTGATGGTAAAACCATCGAGGCAATGTCTGGGACTTCTGACTGGTTGCATGTGACGTGGCAAAGGTGTCTCTGACCATAGGAGATGATTACGCAAGTCCCAGGAAGCCGCCGTGGTGCCAGGAGCGCACCCTGGGCAGTGGACGGCCCCGAGCGAGCTCCCTCTCCTTGGTCGGGGCTCTGCACCTAGAACTCTGGTCCCCTGTCAGAGCCTTTAGCTGGTCACGTCCCCACTCATTCCAATCGTGTGTCTGGTGTTCCCACCAGGGCCAGGCCCTAAGCTGGCTGCCTCCCCCATGTGCAGATGATGGAGCCGAACGAATGAATATGAGGCTTTTCAGCCTCACTTGCCTGGCTCTTTTCCTTGTCAGATCAAAGTTAAGATGGATAATCAAATATTGTCCCACCTACAGATAATTTCATTTGGAAGATTGTCGTAGTCAGCACTCCGTACATTTGGTACTAAGGTTGACAAATACATCTGAAATTACTAATCTGTGGGGAAGGAAAGGAGTTTTTGTTTTCATTACAAAAAATAATCCTTGCTGATGTAATGCCTTTGCAATTTATTTCTTGGCTTCTGTTTTTGTTTTTGTTTTTGTTTTTTTTTGAGAGGGGTCATACTTGAATAGCAAGTTCAATGGTAAATATTGAGAATTGTACACAAAATGAAAGTAAACTTTGGTTGTAATTCATGTAGCAATTTAGTTTGACATTTTGGCCGGGTGTATGGGGAATGTCTGACTAAATGTAAGGGGGAGGCTTGCAGTTTATAATGTCATGGTCATTTGTCATCTCCTTACCCGGTGGCTTTTCTTTTCTTTTTTTTTTTTTTTGCAAGTGACTAATGTCACCTGTCTTTTTAGTGCACATTTGCATGAATAATTTGTCTATCCAGTCATGTTACTGGGAAATGAAATAATTTCATCAAGTTTTTTTCTCTTGGTCTTTAAGTTGGATACACTTAAAGAAAACAACTTGAAAAATGTGGAAGAGCTGAACAAGTCAAAAGAACTTCTGACAGTAGAGAACCAAAAAATGGAAGAGTTCAGGAAAGAAATGTAAGTTCATTTCCTTTGAGAGAAACTGGGGGACTTAATATTGCAAAAGTGAAGACGAGATTAATTATTTTAAAAAAATAACTTGACAAGTACTTAAAAAGTAGTTGCCCCTTTCCTGTCCCCCAAATGTGGTAGCGTGCCTGGAAAGTAGCCCTGTAACTGTTTAGCTGGAAGGTAGCTAAGTCACAGCAGTAACCAGGTTAAAGGATCAAAGTGAGTGTGTGCTGGCTGATAAGTGAGGGCAGGTGGCATTCGAATATGACTTTATGAAGGAATTGGAGGTTTTTTTTTTAAGCAGTGTGCTTTAAAAATCTCTCAAAACCCTTTCTGTGGGGAGAAAAATGGCATCTGCCTTTCAAGATTATCAATAATCTTGATTTTAAGAATAAGCAAACCTTCTTGCATGGGAATCAGGTGAGAGAATTGTGGAAGAATCTTTCTATTCAAGGTTTATCCCTCAGTCTGCTGCCTTGATTTCAGGCAGACAGGCTGACCGTATTTCCTTTGTCAACACCAGCTCCAAGTCCCGGCCATTCAAGTCCAATCGTCATAATCGTTGGTGTTTATCAGGCATTTGAAATGATAGTTCAGGTGTAGAATTCATTTTGCTCTTCTGTTTTGAGAGCTACACCATAAACCAGCTGTGTAAACCTAAAAATTTCAAGCCAGTTAATGTGGTGAACGTTTGTGTCTTCCAAGCTGGGAAGGACACAGAGACGGATTTACACGGCCCCCACCCTTCCAGGGCTTAAATTATTTGCTTCCTGTTCTGAGCAGACAGAGGCATGAGATCAGTCAGACAGTAGCACCACGTCCAAGCCTCCATCCTCAAGGCGAGTTGTTGCTCAAACTCAGGCTGAACCTAGGACACGTCGTGTTCTTCGGAGAGATCGTAAAATCCCTCTTCCGAGTGACTCAGGGCGTGTGATTGATCCCTTCCTCGGTTTTTTAATTTTGTTTTTAATTTTTATTGAAATTACAGTTAACACACAGTGTCGCGTTGGCTCTAGGTGCACAGTGTAGTGATTCGGCACTTCCGGACCTCAGTCTTAGTGTTAATATTTCTCCAGACAGTGCTGAGAAAGTTTGCACCAGCTCCCTTGGCATTCACAGACTTCTCAGCTTACCCGTGCGCTCAGGACCGGCAGGAAGAGCTTGCGTTTTCTTGGCCTTCTGAAGCCACGGCACGAAGGCACATAGAGGTCACCGTGATGGGAAACCGCGGCAGCACCAGCTCTGAGAGGGTGGCCGTGGGCGTGCTGCGGGTCTTTGCCCATGACACAGAAAGGAGTTAGGCTGAGCTGGAGTGTTCAGAGCATTGTTGACTTGAGTTCATTTGTGTTACACAGGCAGCTGGTGAGGGAGGATGTGAGCAGCAGGAGAAGATTCCCTAACCAACCTCCCACTGCCATAACCCCACCTGTGAGCTCTCTGGGCCGCACTAGGTAATG